GGTCGGTCGACTTGACTTCTCCAAAGGGCAAGAATACGAAGTCTCCAAGTTAGTTGGAGGCCGCACAAATCCCAGACAACAGCCCAATGTCTGCCACAACAACCTGGAAGGCCAATTTAGCTCTGAACCCCGAATGCCCCGTGAATGTTGGGCGGTGGCAGATGCCGTCTCCTCCTCGAACAAGGTCTGGGTCCTGAGTGTGACTCACTCGCTCGTGAAATCCTAAACTCGTTTCTCTGCCCTGAGACGCAAACTAGCCCTCCTGTACCCGAACCATCATCATCATCGTCGTCATCATCATGGAAGCTTCATGACGGGGATCTGCTGCCTCGTTTGTTGTTCATATATTCGTGACGGATGACAGAGGCAAGAAATGAAACGATGGCACCCTGAGGGGAGGGTATGGGTCATACCACTATGCAGCAGTACATGGAAGCCCGCCCATGCACATCTACACTACACACAAGTATGTCAAGAGAGAAGCTGCGTCATCCCCACATGCTCCCCAAATACCTCTGAACTCATCTCCCTGTGATCTTCCCCGGCGGGCGCCGGACTCTGGCAACCCCAAACCCAAGCGCTCGCGCACCTAGCAGAGCTGTGCCCGGAATCCAGGAAGCCCATACACTTTAGGGTCTAAGCGCAGGGGTTTCGGATTCAGGGTTTACGGGTCGATACTTCTTCTTTGAGGACCCTCTTTAGGGTTCTGAACGGCCTCAAGGTGCAGGGATTGCCTCTCCATACGGTTCTTCGTGTGACTAGAGTGCAGGAAGCTAGCCAGTGTTCGGTTGACAGAGTTCAGGGCTGCAGGGTTTCAGCGCTTTTTCCGTTTTAACCCTTCGGATTTTTCCGAGCGTTTAGGGGTCCAGCTTGAGAAGATACAAGACCTAAGGCTTAAATTCAGGACTTGACGTTTTGAAGATCAGCGCTTGGGCTAGGCTTGATATTTGGAGGCAGTGAAGTTTAGGGGCTCCTATACGCTTAGTTTCCATGGCATGCTCCGTCTGATGTTTGATTCTGTTCTCCGTTATTGTGGTAAGAATTCTTTGGAACCTTACATACAAAACTGCCATATATCCTCTGTAATGGCCTGGACCTGAAACCGGCTAATATAAGACCTAGTTTGGTGGTTTTGGAGTGTAGGGTCTCTACATTCAAGGCCAGGTCGCTGGCTGCACAAAAATAAGGCTGCGGCTTGTATAGACTCATCACCACACTAATGGAGAACCAGAGAGACAATGAAACTGAAACTAAGGATATCTAAGGGTTTTTCTCGGATTGTAAAACTTTTTTGTGCCCACCCCCGCAGCGTGTGCCAGGCGCGTGATAGAAGAATCGCCTCATGATTCTGACTATCGCACATGTGCGTCCTGAAGTGCAGGGGCACGCAATCCCACTTCAATCCCTTCTGGCTATTTGGGTCCTAAGACGACTGCACAATCTCGCACAATCTCAAAGACTGTCCTTTACCAGCGTTTAGCTATGCAGCATACATGTAGCCTGATCCGTAGAGCCCTCAAGATGCAAAGCAACAACTGCCTGCGCCACATCTTCAACTCTTCAGCATCCAGAATCCATAAACCCTAAAATATGGTAGTTTCCATTTTATCCTCCCTTATCCCTACGTAACCCCAATATATACTAGTAGTTTTCATTGTCTTTTCCCTTATCCAGCCTGCTCAAGGCTAGGCATCTGCTCCTGGCACGATCTGTTGGGATTCGCAGTTTAGGTGTTCAACACTTGGGTTTGGTTGGGTACAGGAGAGCGCTTTCTGAGGTGTGTCACTCTTGGCCTTGTCAGCGCAAGGTAACCAACCTCAATCGGAGCTGCGCACTTCGATGCTGCAGTCAGCACATTGCCATCTTCTATTTGCAAGAAGCATGCTATTCCTGCCCGAACCCAAGTTTAGCTACACTCTACATACTCTACTTACAGCCCTTGAAGAGACGAGGTTTATGTTGAGGCCTCCACAGACAAATTGGGAGCCCATCGGCAGAGCCAGGTGTACACAAACTGTTCTTTGATGATTTATTCGATGACTAATTCCGGCCACTATTCAAACTTACAAAGCCCGAAGCCATCAAGATCATCCCTGTTTGTTCATATGCTTCCCCGTTAATCCCTTTTGCTCCTGCACTACCCCCATATATCCCAGCTTCAATTTCATTCTCCGTTTGATTCTCCCTTAAATAGTCCCTGTATACTGCCAAGAAGCCTTCACCAACTGCCCCGTCAACACTTCATGTAGACAGCCCTGCCCAAAATCCGCATGAGCTCCCTTCATCCAACTTCTACCATAAGAAAACCCTAATCCCAAAACCCAAAGCCCTAAACCCATTTTTCCCAAGGTGCTCAAATCTGACCTCTCGCACTAAACTAACCCCTTGTGCCTAAACCCTGAAACCCAAGTCAATATGTGGCCTCGGAGTTCGAGAGGCCAAGGAAGGCCGAAAGAATGGGGAAGTCGGTGTCGGTGACCACATTGATGGCGTCATCCCTGTCATAAGATCAAGGTTTATGCTTTATGAAGTTCACAAGGTTGTAGGGTTCAGCGTTTGCGCGTCGTTCCTGTCGTAGAGCTTCTAAGGATCCGTGGAATCTGGCGATTTGGCGCTTCAGAACGAAGGTCCAAACCTTTGTTCGGGGCCTCCGGGGTTTCAGGTTTCGGCTGGATAAGTTGCAAGCTTTCTAGGTTTCTTTTCGCTGCCATGTCCATGATCAGGTGCTTCCCCACATTATGACCAGAGATAATGTTTTGGTGACAATAATACCCCCCCCGGGAACTTGTTTTGCGATTTGGGCTTACTGAAGGGGGGGGGGTCGTAACAGTAAATGACGGGGACATGGGTAGGACCAGGTAGTGTAGCTCGTAATAGTAGTAGGACAAGTAGAAGGGAATCTATTAAGATCGGGACGTTTCCGGCCGGACTATTATGTTATTGCCACCCCTTTATTATTGCGATTTGGACTTGTTTATGTATTTTCGGGGTCCGAACTTGTTAGAAAGCAAATTTGATTGTCCGGGATTTTTCCGGGCCGGCAACAAACCGCTATTGTCACCCCATTGATTAATGCTACCTGAACATTAGATACAGAGAGATGTTCGCCTGTGAAGTATAATCTGTCGGCCATCTTACCAAGTAACAGTTCAGCATCCGAGCACTTCAGAGAACCTGAGCCATCCCAGACCATGCTAAGCCAGCCTCCAAAAACATCTTGTCAGCCCAGAAGCTCTGGGTTAACCAATGGTAAACCCCAAAGCCCCAAAGCTGGAAAAACAGCAAATCTCTTTGGATGAAGCCCTTCATTCAGGAGCGCGCACAACGTCTTCGCCAAGTTCGTCGCTACTGGGCGGCAGGTTGAACAGCGAGAAGACCTGGCAGTGATTTAACCCCGCACTGGGTTTAGGGTTTAGGCTTGGGGATATTGGGGTTATTTTGGGGTTATGTTAGAATCATGGAAAATAAAATGGAAACTACTATTTAGGGTTTGGGGTTTAGGATATTTCCAGGCTTTTTCGAGCACGGAACCTACCAGGAATGTATGGAGCAGCATCAAACTCAGCGCAACGGTGGTCTCAAAATCACCATTCCTGGAAGAATTCCAGAGACTGCAAGTAAGGAGTAGAAGGGCTGCAGAAGACGTAGCTGGAATCTCTGTGGCACCTATCCCGCGGGGGCTGTGGCTTCTACGTGCTTTCCTGGATTTATGAGAACGGCTTTAAACAGAGGCCATAGTTTTCACAACTGGTTGCGTAACGACATAACGCCTCAATCCAGATTTTCTGCAGGTGGCCCCCCCAGCATGCCCTTGCAGTACATTCGGTGCTTTGTTGCAGGCTCACAAGAAACAGGTTTAATTTCTGTGCGCAACTGACCTCGGGAAATGAATGAAATCCGAAGCTGCTGACTCTCACACCTTCGCACTATCATTATGATGCTGAGGCGTACTCCTAAGAAGTTCTCAGTCGTCAAACAAGAAGCCCTACCTCCGAGCCTGACAAAAAAGATTTAATATTAAAAATGTTCATGTTTCACGAAGACCTGGCAGTTGCATGCGCCCATATCATGGCAGCCATACTCTGATGAACCCTAACTTGGCACCTAAGCAGCAGACCGAAACTGAAGTGAGTAATCCACTGATTGCCAGGTAAACCTCTCAAGGTGTCCCCTGATCGCTTCTCAAGCTTCCTCTGCCAAAGAGTCTCTTGCCGTTTCTGCACGGTCAAGGACCAGTGTACACACACACACACATTTTATATATATATATTCATATACGTTATATAAACAATGCTGTAGCATTTTGGGGACCCTCATTTCTTCACAAGACATACGGCAGCGCCTTCGGAATCTCCTCCTGGTGTAAAGCGCGTTCTCTAGAGTTGGTTTCGCAACAGCTTGCATAAAACGAAGACAGGGGGGCACAAAGCATTCAAATTGAGAAGTTTCGTTTACCTATGATTCGAAACAGGTCAGTTGCAGTGGCAAGCCTAGTTGAGGGAGAGCTTTACCATTGCTCTATCTTATTAGGACCCTCAAAAAGCTCACAATGCGAGCTTACTTGAGGATTGCGGGTCCAGTTCTACAAGAACACGACTTGGGGGGCTTCGCTTCTGTCTCCAATCCCACCTCAGCTTAGAGCATCTAGAAGCTGGAAAAGGAAAATAGGTATAGCTGTGAGCGCAATCGCTAGGGAAACTCTGAGATTAAGGCAGATTCAGACGGGCCAAGTTTGCATGAAAATGACGCCAGTCTGACTCAACTGAAATTCTTTTCGCTGTCACTTAGCTTGCACTGAGAAAGCAAGCCTGCAGCTTCGGGCGCGTCAAGATGGATGACGAGCCACTTAAAGCCCTTCACACATGCGGCAAGCAAATAAGTTGTCCTGTCTCACGGTTGAGGTACCTGTGACGAAGCATCCCCTTTCCTAAACATCCTTTACCCCCAAACGCTAGACTCCCCTGCACTTGATCATAGCGAATCCCTTCTTTGTGGCTTGCCTCTTCCATGTCCTCCTCCGTCTCCTCAGCGTCAGTGCCCTGGCCCGCGGGGGGCTGGGAGCTTGGAAAATCTGTTGGAAGCTCACCACTGGTCTTTTGTCAGATACCAACAAGGCAGTTATAGGAAGCGAAATATGACTTTACCCGGTTGGTGCATGTTCGTGTTACTGCCTGAATACTCACTCAGCGATGAGGTAAAGGTTCTTTGCGGAACATCAACAACTGCCGGGGGGCGACCTTGTAAGATCCCCTTCAATACCCAAGCCCAGACATCTTTTTAGGCATTAATGAACATGACATACACGCAGATACTGGTATGTTGGTCTTGGTCATCCCAACTTATACGCTTTGCTACCACCAACTCCTCCGAATGCATAATTCTTGGCATGTTTTCCTTAGTGCTTGTTCTTCTATAGTTGTAGAAGGAATTTCATACCCCAAGAAAAGGATCCCCGAATCCGTGTAAGTTTCACAACTTGACCAGACCTCCTCGTCCTTCAGCGGTGGCTGGTCTTTGGCCACGTCGCGATCCTCAGGCTTGGGGGATGTTTATTATTTGGGGATGGGTCTATAGGGGCAAGACTAAGGTGATAACTAGTGCTACTTTCAAGCCCCTATGTCATTTGGGAGACCCCTCCCCTGTATGAAGGTTTCCAGGAATGATAGGAGGCCTATATTCCAATCCATGTGCTCTTCTTGTTCTTTATAATAACATATTATATTGTAGTGTATTATGTTATATTCTAGTATAGTATAGTATAGTATAGTATAGTATATTAACTTTTATCTTAGTATGTTCTATTATAATATAGTAGATTATGTTATAGTACATTTTTCTTTACAAAGTTGCATTTCTCATTGGTGAGGAGCTGCTTGAGGCTGAGGGAATAGCACGGCACTTTCCACTTCAGTGAATTCATCAAAGGCTGCAGGGTTCTGCCCGCGGGCTCTGGCACCAATGGGACCCATTCTGAGCAACACTAGGAGACCTTTCCTTCTAGATACGTTCCTGAAAATCGGGGTGTCCGGAGGATCTCCAGCATCATCCAAATTATTGCCTCAAATGAAATCAATTCTTGTAAGACTCCATCTATGGCCCCTGTACTGCACACCGTGACCCCCTAAAAACCTTATAATAATATATTGACAGACAACCATACACATATGGTCTCTATGCACTATGGAACCTCTGCAAAGGGACCCCTAAACCCTGAACCCTACACCCCTAAAGGCCCTAAACCCTAAACCCTAAAAACCTTAACCCCCAAACCCTAAACCCCTAAACCCTAAATCCCACTTAGTTCCCAATGATCAGAAGCCAAACTCAGGGGGCCTCCTTCTGGGGCTTCTCCGCGTCACTGGGCGTCTCGCCCTGCACGCCCTGCGGCACGATGCAAAACAACTGGGTCATGGAGGGGCCCCAAAAGTAGAGGGAGGGTGTTGGTGCCTTCTTACTATGTTTTTAGCAGGGGTCATTTGTAGGGGGATAGATTCCTTGTTTGCGCAAGCATCTTCATTGCCAAAGCTGAGTCTCTTCTTGATAGCCCGAAATGCAGAGTAAGAAGGCGACCCAAACAGGCCTGCAAGTTTGAGACTGGCGAAAATACAGAAATAATCTTCCTGAATCTGTGTTGCTGTTAAGGAACTTAAGTCAAGTTACTATATGGCGGAAAACCTTTTTGTTACTACATATACCCATTATGGAAATTTTCCTTAAGTTCCCTAACAGCAACCCAGGAATGTGAGCGTGGGTTCCTGGGGATTTGCGGAGGCTTCATGGGGTTTTTGTAGTGTATCCAGAGGATATGAGGCCCAGGGCCAAAGACAGGTTTATGGATTTAGGGTTTTGGGTTTTAGGGTCGTAAGTTCTAGCTTCACAGGGATCATGGAATTGAGGTTCAATGTTGTATGATCAGGCCCCAATAATGCGTTTCAGCAGCCGCTTCAAGAGTTCCAGGCCATTGATAGAAGTCGGGGATGGCTGTGGAATCGTGGAAGCCCGCGTCATACAATACCACCCTAACAATAGGGTCCTTCTTCAAGCCTCCCTTGGTTCTGAGGGCGCTGGAGGGTGATTTAAAGCGGATGGTTTGGAGCCTGCTAGCACTCCAAACCAAAACACATTCAAGAGAGTGTCTTCCCGTGTTGCGAAGTCTCTGGCCCCCAAGCGCAGATTGCCATGCAAGCTTCCTAGGCCCAATCCTTGTGCACTGAGGAACAGGGCTTGCCTCATGGTCTTGCTGATGGATCACGTTGGCCCGAATTAGCGCTCAAACTTGATAAGCAGCCTTTGTATACCAAAAGCCGTACTGTTGAGGGTATGTGCCACAGACGCACCAACCCCGGGCAACCGTTTCCAACTTTCTCAAGATTGCGGGCCCTTGTCAGGCGCTTCGTGTTTTTTCTGGCGCCTAGAAGATTCAGCGGTATGAACACAACTGTACCAGGAAACTTGGGGATTGCCCACGTAAATCTTGCACAGCTTGCTCCAGGCCCTTGGTTGAGTCACCCTAAGACCCGCATGCCCTCTATCAGCATGTCCTCCGAGGCGGAAGAGACCTCCTGGAGGGCGTAGTTCAGAGTTTAAGGGTTCGACTGTAGACTGAGCAGAGTATTGGCTGCAGCCTCAGAAAAGGACTGGTATCTTGCACTTGAAAAGACAAAGGGGCCCTCAGCCACACACATGAAAGGGGTACCGTTACTGCATCCATTGTATTAGCAACAATGCGGCAGGAGGTTCGAGCGTAACGAACACCATGATGAAAGCCAACGAGCATAGACTGGAGACCAGCGAATTATGACTAAAGCTGGAGGAACCAGCCTCCAATCAGCGTCATCACCAGAAGTAGTCGTAGGAGTAAGAGGAAAAGAAGAGGGGCATCGCATCTAGATAGCCCTTGCTGATATTTCCATATACTGCGGCTATACAAACCTCAACCAACTAATCATACAATGCAAACCAGTACTCTTATTCAACATAAACTGCTGCGAGTTTTGCGGTCCCCTGTCAAGCCCAGTCCTCTGAAAGCATTGATTCATGGTGATGCGAGTCGTCCTCTGCAGCTGCTGCCTGCTCAAGTAAGCCATTTGATGTCTACAATTTGGAGACCTTGTCAATCAATTGGTGAGGCTAGACAAGCAGTCATCTTATGTCTGTATACGATTTTGCCTCCCACGGCCTTCTATACTGTGTGGAACCAATGTGTCTCTAGCTCACGTGAAGTGGCAACAGGTTTGCTGCCACCACCAAAGGAAAACCTGGTAACCCTCCTACATCCTTCGCTGAGAAATTCCGCCGTCATACCCGTGTCAAAGCTCCAATGTAATCAGAGCTTTAGCTTTAGCTCTGCAGGCAGCCAAAGCTCAACTGTCCAGACCCTCAGACCTGCCAAGCTAAGGTGGCTGCCACTAACTCACTAACTATGCTCCTCCATACTCTCTGGTAAGCCCTGCAGCGTCCGTGCCTCTGCAGCACGCTCCTTCCTCAGCAGGAAGCCAAGCATGCAAAGTCAATGGAAGCACGAATGCACATCCCGATTGGGAAAGATTGTTTTTCTTGGCAGGAAGACGGGCATTGCGACAACAAGGCGGCATGTGGCTGAGGACGCACAGAATCTTCACTTCTTCTTTATCTGGCAGGAAGCCCCAGGCAGTAGCATCTCGAACCTCACCAGGATTCACGCGCTTCTTTTTATGTCGCAGTGTTCTACGTGGCCTTGTCTCCTAACTCACAGAGTCTCAGCAGAAATGAAAAAGCAACTTCCTGACCACCTTAGGATGTCGCCCACACCCACACGAATTTCTCTGCGCATACCTCCATAACAACAATAGCCATTCAAAGCCTTTATAGGCAAAAGAGACACTCAATTGAGCAGTCGTGGGGACTCTCCTGGACTCCGTACGGCGCTGCGCTCTTGGCATGGTCCTTCTTGGAAGGCCACACACAATCAGGGGCCTGCTCTGCAGCAAGGGGGTTATAAAAAGATATAAAGGATTGCTATCACGGTACTGGTAGGAGTCGAGACCCCATCTGTTGTGCAGTATTGGCGTTAAAAACATGGAACTGCCAATGCAAGTCACAAGCACAGAGCAAGTCTAGATAATTGTAGCTACGTCGGCTACGTCAGTCATAGCAAGTGCGGCAATATAAGCGAGCTGCTGCTTCTTAAGCAGATTATACCGAAGCAGCCACCTTGCTGCAAAAGGCCAAAACGGCTGTTGGGACATCCTCGCTCCGTGTCATATGAACAGCGCATGCCTCTATTTCGCACCTGAAGATCTTGAAGCTGTCCCCCTAGTTGGCCAAGGTGAGACAATGCGGTAGCCCTTCGAGTCCTTGCCATGCGAAGGTTTCCAAAACAAAGACTGGGCAACTTGTTCAAGAGGACGGGGACAAAGCTGTCAAATCCTGATCAGCTTCCGCCGGGTGTCGGAATTGTGCACTGACATTTCCCTAGCCTCTGTTTACCTAGGCTTTTGTTTGCACGGTTTGGTTAGGTCAGAGAGAGTCATTCTGGCCAGGGTTCTGATCAGAAGTGTTATCATTCGCGACTCTCAAATCCCAACAGCCTGATGACAGGACGAGGGCAATTTCATTTTCTGCGTGGCAAGTTGCGGGGGCCACTTTTTCATGGCCGCTTGCATGCCACTCTAATATGTTCACAAGACTCTCGCTCAAAATAAGCAGCCAGACTTGGGCAGCATCCTTCTGGGCGTACCAATCAGAACAGCTACTACTGCTTTGTACCAAAGGGTAGTTGTAGCCCTTCTTGAAACAAGAATGGTTGTAGTCCTCCATGAGATGTCTAGATTTCCTTGGCAGCCATTCCTGATTGGAAGAGGGCTTCGGGTGTGCAGCGACTGCTTTTTTCTGCATCTACCGGGGACACTTCCACCTACTAGCCGTTCTGCTGCTCTATTGCCGCATCTGCTGTACCTTTCGAATTATTTTCTGCTTGTACTCATACTTCTACTACTACTTTTGCTGCTACACCTGCTACTGCTACTATCTGTACTAGTGCTACTGCTACGGCTGCTACTACTACGACCACTACTGCTGTTGTATCTTTGGCTGAGAAAGACGTGGTCCAGTGGAGATCACGGGCCCGCTCAATACAACGAAGACGACCTGGGATGACCTGCTGGTGTCATCCAGGTAGGGATGTAGAACATAGAAATTATGGAAAAGAAAATGGAAACCCCTACAGAGTACGTAGGAATAATGGAAATTAACATTCAAACTCCTATATAGAACATAGGGACAATGGAAAAGAAAACGTAAACCCCTATATGCCTTTTTAGTATATAGGAATTGTGGAAAAGAAAATGGAAACCACTACATCGCCTAGACCATATTGTATAGGGAGATATATATATATATATATGCTTCAGGGATGCTACCCCTGCTAATGGAGAAGCGAATGGAAAAGAGCATCAACAAGGGAAATGGCGACTGGATTAGAATACTGATTATATAGGGTCAGTGTGCTTGGCAGGCATATGACGAAACACTACTGTTTCCTATAATTGTAACTATACGGGGATACAGGTTATAATCTGGTCAGTACTTGAGTGTTTTACCTAGGGTTTTGATTCATGAGCCAGGGATTTTGCCTCACATTGACTATGTCTGCAGAAAGGTGCTGGGGTGAAGTTTGGGCAACTAGAGTTGCGAAAGGATGTTTTTGTGATGGTATCTTTACCTGCATCGGAATCTCCGCCTCAAGACATTTTCTAAACTTTGCTCCGCGCACCGGCACCGCAAGCCCCTGCCAACCTAAGTTCCAAAACTTTCCCCTAGCAGACCAACAGCCCCAAGCCCCCAAAATTCTCAAACCCTATGACCCCCTTGCCCCAAAAACCTATACCCCGGCTGCACTCTGGACCAGACCTCCAGAGGCTTAGTGCGGCGAGGACTTCGGCGAGGCTCGCAAGGCCTCGCCTGGGCTTCGAACATCTCCAGGCTTTTATCCGCCTTACGCCCCTACAGCTTGCAGGGGACACAAAATGAAGCGAATCAGAGGATTGGCCGCTGCAAGTAGGACGGCATCAAACAGTAGCACACGAGAAAAGAGGTTTCAGGACAACATCGCAAGCAGGCGAGTCGAACATCATACTCCTCAAAAAACGATATTGCTGCCAGAGTGGGAGCTTTAGACAAGGAGGTTTAGCATCAAGGATATAAAGCAACAAGGTCCAGGCTTCCAAACTTTAGCTTCAGGGGCTTCGGATTCAGTGCTTAGGGCTCGGGACTTTAAGTTAGGGACTAGAGTTTTGAGCTTAGGTTTTGGGAGTTGAGGTTGCCCAGCGCGCTCAAGTGGCGTCAGGGCTAGACAGAAATCTTTGGCTCTGTTGTGGGGGGCTTCTGCCCATGAAGGCGGCTTCTTAGGGTCATAGGGCTCTGTAGAGAGACAGAGACAGATAGAGCGAGAGGAGAGAGAGAGAGAGAGGTATAGAGAGAGAGAGAGAGAGCGACTGACATAGATAGAGCAAGAGCATGGCCTTTCTAAATTATGCGGGGGAAGGCTACATGTCAGGAATTTGCGTTTTCGGATACATGGCGATTGGGATTTCAGACCGGATTCCCTCCCCCTGACAAAACCAAAAAGCTCCCGAACCAAACCCCCACCCCCCACCCCCTAACAGTAAACATTCCCATTAATAAACTCGGTGATGCTGATACACTGGGAACATCCTATGATTAGAGGTTTGGGGCGGCGGGGGGGACATGATTACTGCGCCCAAGGATGTTTCAGGTTTGCGGTGTCAATTCAAGTTCCTCCTCTATCAGATACTTGGTAGATTTATGGCATTGGATGCTTCATGAGCGTGGGCTCAAATGACCGGAGCCAAAACAAAAAGCGGACTGAGATTTGAACCTCATGCAGACCCGTTTGCATAAATTGGTGCTGGCGCAGGGCTTTGAACCGTCCACAAGATCGTGGGCGTCCTCGTGGCGATCGTGGCCCAGTGAAGCCTGACATTGTCATCAGAGTATCAAGATTCACGCGCCTGCTGGCTGAAGAAGCTGTAGTATAAACGTCTTGTAGATGACGCTGAGGCTTCAATATGAACTCACGGTTTGACAGGCCCTTTGTTTCCATGAGCTATGGCCTTTTTGGCCTTCCTGAGAGGCCAGTCCCACCTTCCAGGCAGAATTTCTAAGGAATGCCAATGTAACCAAGCACAGTGCCCGAAGCAAGAAGGATGGACAAGGGCATTCCCTACAACTTCTTTCAAATCGCACAAATTCAACGTTGTCAGGCTGTCAGGTGATCATCCAAGACTTTCGACTTCAATTCCTGGGTGGCACCTGCTGCTCAACATCATAGGATCCCAGACCACCCCCCACCCTAACCCTGCCCGACCCCAAATGAAGCCAGGACCGCGTGACAACACTTACTTGCGGGGCAAGGAACTTTCTCCCATTCCCAGCTCCACGTTGAGCACCTGAGCAGAGCGGTAAGAGTATGCAGTGCCCTGAGAAACTGTATGTGACCTATTTATTGTATGCTACCACACCCTCACCGACGACCAATGCCTAGATCCCAAGCCTCTCACCGTGAAGCTCAACAGCTGTACCAACCCAAAAAACCCGAAGCTGCAACCCCTGAAGCTTGCGCCCTTCCCTTTGCAATGATAGTCACTAATTGCTTCCCCCTAGAACAATAATCCCTCCCTGATAATGAATACTCCTCCCAGAGAATCCTATTTTCCAGAAACTCACGGAAGACTGATTTTAAAAGGGTCAAGACTACTTTTAACAGGGGTCCCCGTAATACCGAGTTATGGGTGGTTCTTTCTATGTTAACGCTTTGAATCATTAGCTGCTTAAATAGTATGTCAGATACTTGTTTTTGTAGATTGCGACTGAATACAAGTGAGTTTGCAATGAGGTCTTCATCCGATTCTAGCTAGCTTTTTCTTCCATTTAAACACATTGGTTTTAATTCGATTCTCATTAGAACTCAATTAGATTTACTTACCCCCTCTGGTATTCTTTGCAATGAAGGAGACGTTTAATATTTGTGGGAAGGCATTGTGAAAAACCCGCCCCTCAGCCGACTACAA